AGGAAATAGACTTCCAGGAAGTCCAGGAAGCTCAGAGAGTCCCAAAGAACTTGGACCCAAGGAGGAACACACCAAGGTGCATCATCATTACATTAGCCAAGATTCAAATGAAGGAGAGAATCCTAGAAGCAGCAAGAGCTAAGGGGACAGTCACCTACAAAGGAGTTCCCATCAGACTGTCAGCGGATTTCTCAAAAGAGACCTTACAGGCAAGAAGGGGCTGGAAAGAGGTATTCCAAGTCATGAAATCCAAAGACCTACATCCAAGATTACTCTATCCAGCAAAACTTTCATTTAGAATGGAAGGACAGATAAAGTGCTTCTCAGATAAGATCAAATTCAAGGAATTCATCATCACCAAGCCCTTATTATATGAAATGTTAAAGGGACTTATCTAATAAAAAGAAGATAAAAAAGATGAACAGTGAAAGGACAGCAAGCTCACAGTTATTAGCAACCACACCTAAAACAAAAGCAAACTAAGAGGACAGCTAGATCAGGAGCAGAACCATAGAAATTAAGATCTCATGGAAGGTTAGCAACAGGAGATTGGGAGGAGGAGAAGGGAGGAGAAGGTACAGAAAATAAGTAGCATAGACGGTAGGTAGAAAATAGATAGGGGGGAGGGCAATAATAGTATGGGAAATATAGAATCTAAAGAACTTGAGACACGTGATCATAAACTAAAGGGGAGGAATGGTGGGTGTGGGTGTGTGCAGAGTGGAGGGGAATGAAGGGGGGAATAGAACAACTGTAATGGCACAATCAATAAAATAAAATAAAATAAAATAATTAAAATTAAAATTAAAAAATAAACACAAAAATAATTTCTAAGGCTGAAAATGTTTTATTTTATATATTTTATATAATATATATAACATCTCATTTATTCATTTTTTGTCAATGGGCATTTGGATTGTTTCCACCTTTTGGCTATTAGAAAAATGCTGCTGTGAACATGGGTAGAAAAATATTTGTTTGAGACCCTGCCTTCAATTATTTTGTTTATATATTCAGAAGTGGAGTTGCTGGATCATATCATAATTCTATGCTCATTTATTTGTGTACCCATTAAACTATTTTCTATAGTGCCTCCATCATTTTACATTCCTTAAGAATGTATAATGTTTCAAATTTCTGCACATCCTGGCAGACATTTGTTATTTTTTTTGGTGGTAGCTATTTTAATGGGTGTGAAGTGACCTGTCACTGTGGTTTTGACTTGAATTTCCATAATTAGTGATGGCCAGCGTTTTTCACATGCCATTTGCATCTCTTCTTTGTAGAAATGTCTGCTCAAGTCCTTTGGGCATTTTTAAATTATTTGTTTTTTTCTTATTGCTGTTGAGTTGTGTCCTTAATACATTCTGGATATTAATCCTCTATAGAATATATGATTTGCAAATATTTTTATCCATTCCACAGGTTGCCTTTCAAATTTGTTGATAGAAACCTATGATGGAAAAAAATCTTTCTAATGTAAAGAAATTCTATTTATTTTTATTTCTATGTATGCATTTAGTGTCATATACTTTTGTTTTGTGTAATGAAACATAATTTTCTTTGTGGCTTCTGTAACTGCATTTATGACAATGAAAGATACTTTAGTCTTAAAATTTGGTGAACATAGTTTCCTTTGTCCTCTAATAGTTTAGTTTAACTACATAATATTTAAAAAAACAATGGATCTTTCTACCTTGACTGGTATGGCTCAGTTGGTTGGGAGTTATTCCACAAAGAGAAAGGTTGCTGGTTTGATTCTCTGTCAAAGAGAATCAAATAACTAGGATGAGGTTTTGGTCCTGGGTCAGGGTGCATGCCAGAGGCAACAATTGATGTTTCTTTCCCTCTCTTTTTCTTCCCCTTCTCCTCTCTCTAAAAATAAATAAATAAAATCTTAAAAAATAGATTTTCTTTTAAAATTACATTCTTGGAAAATATTTAAGGACATTGGAATATGTTTATGAGAGAAAAAAGTTTATAAAAGAGTCTATCCAGTTTTATTTTAAAAAAATTTAGCCTAAATATAACACATATAAACAAGTTAGACTAAAAGGACCAAAATGTACTTTGGTTCTCTCAGGGCTGTGAGATTGCTAGTGATTTCTATTATACTCTTAAGATTTTCTCATTTTCCAAATTAAAAAAGTGAGCATATATTGTATTTATTCTCAGAAAATTACAAGGAATGTTGTAACTATAACACCAGAAAAATAAAACTTGGAATGCAGGGAACTCAATTATGGAACTACCAGAAAGATATATTACCCTGAAAATTAAATTTTGTAATCCAATTTTCTCTATAATACAGAGATAAAATAGTTTAGAAAGGAAAATTTAGCCACATAATGAAATAATTTATAAAGATATACAATAATATCTAAACAGGATTGAGCCCTGCTATTGTAGCACAATACAGGTTGTTGTTTAAATATGAAAAATAGTTGAAATATTAAAAATTGTTCAATTAATCATCTCTCTGATAGCTAACAATATTGAGCATCTCTTCATGTGTCTCTGGATATTCTGTATGTCCTCTTTGGAGAAGTGTCTGTTCAAGTCCTTTTCCCATTTTTTAATTGGGATGCAAATTAAAACCACAATGAGATACCACTTTACACCAGTCAGGATGGCTATAATAGACAAAGCAACAAACAACAAATGTTGGAGAGGTTGTGGGGAAAAGGGGACCTTAATTCACTGTTGGTGGGATTGCAGACTGGTACAACCATTATGGAAAACAGTATGGAATTTTCTCAGAAAAATAAAAATCGACCTGCCTTTTGACCCAGCGATTCCACTGCTAGGATTATACCCCAAGAATCCTCAAACATCAATTTCAAAGAACCTATGCACCACAATGTTCATAGCAGCACAATTTACAATAGCCAAGAGTTGGAAGCAACCTAGGTGTCCATCAGTAAATGAGTGGATCAAAAAATGGTGGTACATATACACAATGGAATTCTATGCAGCAGAGAGAAAGAAGGAGCTACTACCCTTTGCAACAACATGGATGGAACTGGAAAACATTATGCTGAGTGAAATAGGCCAGGCATTGAAGGACAAATACCATATGATCTCACCTTTGAGAGGAAGCTAAAGAATAAAACAAACAAGCAAGCAGAATAAAAACAAAGACACTGAAATAGAGAACAAGTGGGCAGCAACCAGAGGGGAGAGAGAAGGGAATTTAAAGGGAAAAATGGGAAGGGATTTTGAGGAACAAGTATGAAAGACACAGGGATGAGGACTGGGGGGGGGGAATGGGAGAGAGGGGGGAGAAAGGGTGGGGGGCTGGGATGGGAGAAATAGACAAAAAATGTACTTGAAAAATAACTAAATAAAAATTAAAAAAAGAAAAAATTGTTCAATTAATCAATAACTGGCATTGCAAATGTAGACAAAATAATTATCACCAATGATTCCTACCCAGAGGAAATTCTGTAATGACTGCAGAGTAGTCCATCTTAGTAATACTGTATTGTATATTTAACCATGACTTTAAAGCTCATTTAGATTATTTTCAATAACTCAAAAGTGTCAAGCAAATGTTATGACTTAAAAAAATACTACTTTATATTTGAGCATTCCTTTAAAAATTCCTTAGAGCTTTAAAGCCAGCAATAAGAAAGAGTGACTGTCAAATCAGTACTGGTACTGAATTATTGATAAGCCAGGCAACTGGTTTATAGTCTTCACTTTTTATATTTTTAAGGTATATTTATTTTTGTTTGTTTCTTTATTATGTTCACTTGTCATACAGTTGTATACAGCACTTTGACTCTTATTTTTAATATTTTATTTATCTTTAGAGAGGAAGGGAAGGAGAGAGGGAGAGAAATATCAATGTATGGTTGCCTCCCATGTGGCCCCTGCTGGGAACTAGCCTGCAACCGAGGCATGTACCCTGACTGGGAATCGAACCATGGTTGCTTGGTTTCCAGGCCCGAGCTCAATCCACTGACCTACGCCATCCAGGGCTGACTCTTAATCACAGAACCTCTTTCACCCTAACCCTCACCTACCCTGGCACCAGCCACCAACCCAGAGAAATGTTTCAAGAATTTCCCATTCCAAATTACTGCTCACTTATCATAAAGGTTTTGAAAAATACAGAAAAACAGACTATAGGATATTTAAATCACTGGCAGTTACAGCACCCTGAGAGCAGCATTGCTAATTGTTTACTTTTTTCCTTCTAGCCTCTCTTTATAAGCTCCTCCACCACCTACCATTCCCCTTCCCAGAGCCTAGGACTAAAATCAAAGGGACAGAGTTAGGAGGGGTGGATGCCTTGTCATTTCCCCTTGTCCGAAATTTTAGTTACAATTTTCTTTTAGCTCTTTTAAAATTATAAAAGTATAATACCAGTTGAAAATTGAAAGGATAATCTAATAATATATGGGTTTCCAGGAAAATCGGGGTAGGGGTCAGGGAGTGTTGAGTGGTGGAGGATAAAGGGGAGGTGAATGAATCAGCCATATTCTGGGAAGGTGAGTGGAGTTTGAAACTTGATAGATCTAATACTTTATCGGCTCAGAGTGTGTGAATTACTACAGCCCAGCAAATGACGTTAGAGCAGAATTGGGGGGGGGGTGACGCAGCTAGCCATTGGCACTAAGAAAATCTAGCCAAGAGACAGCCGCGTTATTGTATTGCAGCACCATTTCTTTAAAAAATTGGAACCAGCTGCTACTTGCAGAGGTCCACCCACTGCAGCTCTCTCCAGTCTTTGTCCCACTCCTGCGGGGCCCATCTCAACTTTCTGCACCCCAGCCCAGGCCATCGCTGAATTTGTCTTGATCTCACAACCTCAGCAACGCTTTCATCACGGCAGCAGTCTCAACCGTTGCTTTTGCTTTCGCAGACCAGCTACCGCTAGTTCCACCTTTGCCAAAGGCACCACCGCTTCTGATATTCGGCGAGTCTTTCCCTGCAGAGGTCAGATCTCCCGATCTTGGAGATACCCACATTAGGCGTGTACTGTTCTTTGAAAAATGTCCAAGTCAGTCAACTACAAGGAATTTTTAGAGTCCAGGCAAGCAGAGGCTGGTAATAAGGTGATGGTGGAGGGGCTGGGGAAACTGCTGGAGAGCAGTGAAAATGCTGCAGCTTGGCCTGGAGATGATGGGGAGCGTGGTGAAGAATCAGCCTCTTGTCCTGGGGAAGAAGGGAGAAAATATGAAGATGCTGCTGGGTCTGGGGAAGGAGGGGTAAGAAGTGAAGATACTGATGAGGATTCAGATCCAGACCATCCAAAAAGACTTATTGGTTATCTTTTAGATACAGACTTTGTTGAAAGTCTACCTGTCAAAGTTAAGTACCGTGTGTTAGCCCTCGAAAAGCTTCAAACTAGAGTGGTGAATCTAGAAGCCAAATTCCTGAGGGAATTTCATGGAATTGAGAGAAAGTTTGCTGAAATGTATCAGCCCTTGTTGGAAAAAAGATGTCAGATCATCAATGCAATCTATGAGCCTACAGAAGAGGAATGTGAATATAAATCAGACTATGAGGACTATAATGATGAGGAGATGTATGATGAGGAAGAAATGTGTGGTAATGAAGAGGGTATGGTACATGAGTATATGGATGAGGATAATGGTTATGAGGAAGATTATTATGATTATGCTGTTGAGGAGGAGGAGGATGACGATGATGATGATGACGATGAGGATGACATCGAGGCTACTGGGGAAGATAATAAAGAAGATCCTAAAGGAATTCCTGATTTTTGGCTGACAGTCTTAAAAAATGTTGACACAGTCACTCCTTGGATTAAGAAATGTGATGAACCTATTCTGAAGCTCCTGACAGATATTAAAGTGAAGCTTTCAGATCCTGGCGAGCCTCTCAGTTTCACGCTAGAGTTTCACTTCAAACCTAATGAATATTTCAAAAATGCACTGCTGACAAAGACCTATGTGTTGAAGTCAAGGCTAGCATATTATGATCCCCATCCCTATAGGGGAACTGCGATTGAGTATTGCATAGGCTGTGAGATAGATTGGAATGAAGGAAAGAATGTCACTTTGAAAATCATCAAAAAGAAGCAAAAACATCGGATCTGGGGGACAATTCCGAACTGTCACCGAACATTTCCCCAAGGATTCATTCTTCAATTTCTTTACTCCTTGTAGAATCAGTTCAAATGGAAAGGATGGAAATGATGATTTTTTACTTGGTCACAATTTACGTACTTACATAATCCCAAGATCGGTATTATTTTTCTCAGGTGATGCACTTGAATCTCAGCAGGAGGGGGTAGTTAAGGAAGTTAATGATGAAATTTATAACAAAATTATTTATGATAATTGGATGGCTGCAATTGAGGAAGTTAAAACCTGTTGCAAAAATCTTGGGGCAATGGTAGGAGACATTGATCGCTAAGGCAGAGTCTACATGGTCCTGAAATTAACAGCCTTAGATATAGTTACTCAGAATAAAAGAATTTGTCTTGTGTTCTGAATTTTTCTTATAATGTTAGTTAAAAGCATATGTCTCAGAAATATAAAAGATGTTCAAATGCCGATTCATTTGACTTTGCATTTCAGTAGTAGAATGCTTTCAAGAAATGTACACTGTGGTAAAATGATTTAAGACATTAATATAGTGTGGTGTACTTTAATCCTTGTGAAGTCCTTTTGTTATGTAACTATTAATCTGTGGCTGTGAATAATGCCCAGACTGCTAAATGAGATCAATATTTATTTGGAAAGAAAATCTCGGAGAACCCACCAAGGTTTTTTTTTTTTTGCTATTGTTGTTATTTATGTATTATTGTTTTTTCAGTCTTTTAGCTAATAGATTTAATTCTGTTGTGCCTGTTTCATTTTAAAATAAAAATACAATAGAATTTAAAACTTAAGAACTTAAGAAGAAGCCTGAATATGGTTAAGAATTTCAGGCAAAAACCAACTTTATTGTTAATAACAGCTTGTTCATAGGCTCTTATATTATGTGATCATAATAAATAACGAAACTTAGTCATATTGAAGTTATTGTTTTTCAGTGAAGTGTTAATCACAGTATTTTTCAAAAGATTGCCGCATATTGTTCTCAGTGTGTAAACTATAATTGTGGTGTGTAATTTTTCTTTTCTTATAGTACATTTAATCATTCCTTGAAAGTGTTTAGAATTTTGAAAAGATTTTTTCATGTTCTTTCACTGGAAAATGAAATGAATAAAAATTTCAATGTTTTATGTTTTAAAACTGGTCTTTTTTTCTGATTATAAAAGTATTGTGTACATTGGACTGTATTTCAAAAATACAAAAATACACTAATTAAAACTAAAATGCATACTTCCATTCCTCAAAGATAAACACTTGTTAATGTTGTCATTTATTTTTTACTATGTGTATTTACTATGTGTATGTGTTATTTTCTATGAGTATATATGCAAGCAAATTTACTAACACTATACTTAGGTGTGCAAATAAGTAAGTTTTTATTGTTTATAACTGATGTAATCTTAATCCTGAGTCCACCTCTACCATTCAGGATTTTAGGAAAACAAAAATCTCAAATTTAACCAATCCAGTAAGTTCATTACTATTTAGTAATTTAAACACTCTGTATAAACAAAAAGGTCCCATGTGTTAGTCTATATATCAGATTTACCTACTCTTCCACCATGTTATCTGGATGCATAGGGTCTATATTGCTTAATGGCAGGGGGAGTGTACACTAAGGACAATAGGATGTGGTTGATCAGAGAGCTAACTATTTCAGAGCTTCTTTGCCTTCCTCAGATGTGAAAACCCATAGATTTGGGTTTCCCCTTTGGCAGACTCTGTGAAAGTCACATCTATCCCTTTGGGACAACAGGAAACATCTTTGTCCATTGGTGCATTTGCACACTTTTGATTATTTATTTTTCTTTAAAAAAATTGTCAATTACAGTTCACATTCAATGTTATATCAGTTTCTGGTGTACAGTATAGAGATTAGAAAATTACATACAGCCCTGGCTGGTGTAGCTCAGTGGATTGAGCGTGGGCCTGCGAACCAGACAATCGCGGTTCGATTCCCAGTCAGGGCACATACCGGGGTTGCAGGCCGGTTCCCTGCAGGCCAGTTCCCAGCAGGGGATGCACGAAAGGCAACCATACATTGATGTTTCTCTCCCTCTCTCCTTCCCTTCCCCTCTAAAGATAAATAAATAAAATTTAAAAAAAGAAAATTACATACAAAGTGGTCCCCCCAATATTTTCAGTACCTACCTGGCACCATACATTGTTATTATAATATTATTGTTATTATTACTAAGTTTGTTTATTTATTTATTTATGTGTGTGTGTATATATATGTATATATATGTATGTATTTGAGAAAGAGAAAGGAAGGAAGGGAGAAAGAGAGAGAGAGAAAAACATCATTGTTTTATTGTGTCTTTGTGAGACAATGCCCAACCAACAGAGACAACACTGGTCTGGACACTTACTATGATATTATTGACTATATTCCCTAATTGTACTTTTACATCCTCATGAGTATTTTGTAACTACAAATAAATACTTGTTAATCCAACAGGGAACTTACTTATATTTTAATTTTTTATTGTTGACACTATTACAGATGTCCTCCATTCCCTCCACTTTGCCCCGGCACCATCCTGTCCTTCATATTGTTGTCTTTGTCTTATGGGCTATACATATATGCACATATATTCTTTGGCTAATCTCTTCCACTCCTCCCCTCCCCTCTGAGATCTGTCAGTCTGGTCCATGTATCCATACCTTTGATTTTATATTGTTCATCAGTTTATTTCATTCATTAGATTCCATATACGAGTGAGATTAAATGGTATTTCTGTTTCTTTGACTGGCTTATTTTGCTTAGCATAATATTCTATAGGTCCATCCATGCTGTCTCAAAGGGTAAGAGTTCCTTCTTCCTTTTTTACAGTTGCATAGTATTCCACTGTGTAAATGTACCACAGCTTTTTTATCCACTCATTGACTGATGGGCACTTGGGCTGTTCCCAGATCTTGGCTATTGTAAATAATGCTGCTATGAACATAGGAGTGCATCTATTCTGATTGGTGTTTCAAGATTTTTAGAATATATTCCTATAAGTGAGATAACTGGGTCAAATGGCAGTTCCATTTTAGTTTTTGGAGGAAACTCCATAATGATTTCCACAGTGACTGCATCAGTCTGTATTTCCACCAACGGTGCCCTAGGCTTCCCTTTTCTTCACATCCTTGCCAGCACTTGTTGTTTCTTGACTCATTAATGATAGCCATTTTGGTGGGTGTGAAGTAATATCTCATTATAGTTTTAATTTGCATCTTTCTGAGAGGTAGTGATGTCGAGCATATGTCTATTGGCCATCTGTATGTCCTCTTTGGAGAAGTGTCTATTCAGGCCCTTTGCCCATTTTTTTAATTGGGTAGTTTGTCTTTCTGGCATTGTGTTGTGTAAGTTCTTTACATGTTTTGGAAATTAATCTCTTCTCAAATGTATTATTGATGAATATGTCCTCCCATACAGAAACTATCATTTTGTTGATAGTTTCTTCAGTTGCAGAGAAGCTTTTTAGTTTGATGTAGTCCCATTTGTTTAATTTTTTGTTTCTCTTGCCCTAGGAGATATATTGGCAAAAATATAGCTAATGTGAGATGTCTGAGATTTTACTCCCTATATTTTCTTCTACAATTTTTATGATTTGGGGACTTATATTTAAGTCTTTTATACATTTTGAGTTTATTGTCATGTGTGGTATAAGTTGATGGTCTAATATTTGCATGTATCAGTCCAATTTTCCCAAAATCATTTGTTAGAGAAACTGTTTTTACTCATATGTTCTTGCCTTCTTTGTCAAATATTACTTGACCATAAAGGCATGGTATTATTTCCGGGCTGTCTGTTCTGTTCTGTTGATATATATGCCTGTTCTCATGCCAGTACCAAGCTGTTTTGATTACAATGGCTTTTTACTATAGTTTGATAACTGGTATTATGATCCCTCCAACTTTGTTCTTCTTTTTCAGGATTGCTGAGGCTATTCAGGGCCTTATGTGGTAGCAGTTAAATTTTTGAAATATTTGTTCTAAATGTGTGAGATCCGCCATTGTTTTTAAATAAAAATTGTGTTGAATCTGTAGATCGCTGTGGGTAGTATGGACACTTTAACAATGTTAACTTTTTTTAATTTAATTATTTTTCAAGTACAGTTTGCAGTCTATTTCTCCCATCCCAGCCCACCCTGCCCCATGCTCCCCACCTCCCTCCCATTTCTACCCCCCTTAGTTATTGTCCCTGTGTCCTTTATACTTGTTCCTCTAAATCCCTCCCCTTTATCCCCTTAAATTCCCTCCCCTCTCCCCTCTAGTTGTTGTCCCCCTGTTCTCTATTTCAGTGTCTTTGTTTTTATTTTGCTTGCTTGTTTGTTTTGTTGTTTAGCTTCCTGTTAAAGGTGAGATCATATGGTATTTTTCTTTCAACACCTGGCCTATTTCACTCAGCATAATGCTTTCCAGTTCCATCCATGCTGTTGCAAAGGGTAGTAGCTCCTTCTTTCTCTCTGCTGCCTAGAATTCCATTGTGTATATGTACCATAATTTTTTGATCCATTCATTTACTGACGGGCACCTAGGGTGCTTCCAACTCTTGGCTATTGTAAATTGTGCTGCTATGAACATTGTGGTGCATAGGTTCTTTGAGATTGGTGTTTTAGGATTCTTAGGATATAATCCTAGCAGTGGAATTGCTGGGTCAAAAGGTAGGTCCATTTTTAGTTTTCTTAGAAAATTCCATACTGTTTTCCATAGTGGTTGTACCAGTCTGCAATCCCACCAACAGTGAGCTAGGGTCCCCTTTTCCCCACAACCTCTCCAACATTTGTTGTTTGTTGCTTTGTTTATGATAGCCATCCTGACTGGTGTAAAGTGGTATCTTATTGTGGTTTTAATTGCATCTCTCTGATGGCCAGTGATAACAATGTTATCTTTTCTTATCAATGAACAAATTATGTGCTTCCACTTAACTGTATCATCCTCAATTTCTTTCTTTAGTATCTCTTTATTTTTCTAAAAGACTTTTATTATCTACTTGGATAAATGTATAACTAGACGCCTTATTTTTTTGTTGCAATACTGAATAAGATCGTCGTCTTAATTTCTCTCTGGGAGAATTCATTATTGGTGTATAAAAATGCCACTGATTTCTGAGTACTGATTTTGTATCCTGCTATGTAACTGAAATTATATCAGTTCTAGTACTTTTTTATTGGAATTTTTAGGGTTTTCTATATGGAGTATCATGTCTTCTGCAAATGACAGTTTTACTTACACTTTCCAATTTGGATGCCTTTTATTTCTTCTTCTTGCCTGATTGATGTGGATAAAACTTCCAGTACTATGTTGAATAAGACTGGTGAAAGA